CAGTTCTGAAGCATTGAATCCGCCCGCAAAGGAGGGATGAATACAGCAGTTTATCAGACTCGAAATACCCGCTCGATTTCGCAATTTTGAACTGTAGAATCAGTACCCTAAGGCGGGCGAATACAGTGAATCATCACGCGTTGCGATGGGTTCGGCGTGCCAGCTTGATCGTTCTTGAGTTTTGGAGATTAATCAAACCACGAACTGGGCGAATGCACGCCGGGCGAGGGCTGAACGACCGCTAGAGCGATCTCAAACTTCTGGGGTCAGATCTGATCGCAAAGCAGGGTCAAATTCGTGCCGAACCAGTAAGGCTGCTTGAACCGGTCGATTTATCATTTGACTATTGAGGGTAATTGCGGTTTGTACCAACCGAATTACGGGTTGACTATATAAACACAAAGCTGACTGATTCAACTGTTTTGACGATTGACTAAGAAGACTCATTGTTGTCTGAACCTGTTAATTTACCAGCCGGCTGATCGAAACCGTTGGCGGTGTGAAGTTGTAAAACAAAGAAGAAACAGAATAGAAAAATAGGTAGCGAGACAGGGTGTCTCCTACCAAGTTCCCTKCYGTTCGTTGAGGACCTCGGAAGCGGGCACGGTGAGTGACAGGCGCTGCTGCCCCTGTCTTCAACGAGCAGTAGGCGACCCCTCCCCGGGTTTCCTCACACCGGCTCGTCTTCATAAGGAGGGGGGCAGGTTACATGCTGAAAGCCTACACACGGGCCCCTCACGGGACCCGAGGTTGGAATAGGGCCCCCAGGTCGCGTCACCGCAACCTAAAGGCCCTATGGCATTTTTACTTGGGCCTGCATCAGAAAAACGCCAGCTTTAGATTATTTTTATAGTCTTTGTTTTATTTATTTGCTGTTGTTTTTCTAACGGGTGTACTGTTGTCCGTTTTGTGGCCAGGTACAAGCTTCTAGGGCCAGGGTTAGATTCAGGCCCAGAGGCTGAGCTCCTAAAAAACGTTTGGACCTTTTCTTTTGTTTTCGAACAGATTTTCACCTCTTCGAACCCAGGCCGACGTTGAGGCCGGGTACGTCCGCAAAGGACCAGTTTGAAGCCAGGTACCAGGAAGATTAATCCTGGACATGGCCTGGACGTCCCGTAGGGACCCAGGCAGGCCGTTTTAGGCCAAGGACCGAACCAGTTTTCGAAGCCTGCGATCTGGACCGTGGATCGGAGTTTCGATCTCCACGGTCCAGAACGCAGGCCGTGGGTTTTCAGTCCTGGCCCAGCACTACTTAAGCTGGGCCATTGCCCAGTTCGGACGCAGAAGGTACCAGGAGAAATCCAGCGTTATGCTGGTTCAGGAACTTGGCTGCTGCGCTATTTTGGAGACTCCCTGCTGCGCCATTTCGAGACTGCAGCTGCGCTGCTCATCGGCCATGAGGCACAGCGCTGGAGGAGTCCAGCGCCGAGGAGGGTAGTGGAGTTAGAGAGAGAGAGAGAGAGAGAGAGAGAGAGAGAGAAAGAGAAAGAGAGAGAGAGAGAGAAGAGGACTTACCTGCCCAGCGCCATAGCTGGCTCCGCGGTACCTGCAAGTTCAGCCATCGCCAGGTAAGTGCAGAAAGCACCCAGCTTTCTTCTTCTTCTTATTCTTCTTCTTCTTCTTCTTCTTCTTCTTCTTTTCCTCCTGTCCTCTTCTCCTCCTACTCCTCCGAAGTTCTTATTCTTCTTCTTCTTCTTCTTCTTCTTCTTCTTCTTCTCAGAGTAGAGATAGAGGTAAGTGCAGACATTGTGTGAACACGGCCTTCTGCCTTATTGGACATGACATTCAGATCGGACTTACACTGGGATTAGACTGTGTACGACATTTGGAGATCAGACTTGGGTTAGACTTGCTTGCCTMTGTCTCCCCCCTCTCTATCTCGCATGTCTATGGATCTCTCCCCRTGTGTGTGAGCGGAAGGGCAATCTTTYTGATGTCTTGCCCTTCCGAAGTTTATCCGTGTCTGTCTGTTCACGTGTCCTTTGGTTACTAGATATTTCGCTGCGCTGCTTCACAGCCCATGATGATAATGATACGAATGTGTTGTTGTTGATTTCTCGTTGGGTTGCTCTTTGGATCATGCACATTGACATCTTGTGAATGTTGCACCTATGCTGCTGGTTGTTGCCACTTTCGTCATTGCTAGATCCTAGGTTTTCAGTGCATTTCACTTTCTGATATGCTACAAGTGGTAACGGAGCATTGGCGATGAATCTTGGCAACAACCAATCAATCAATTGATTGATTGGATTGGCGGTTTGCCACCAATCGATCTTCGATTGATTGATCAGTCAATCAGGAGATTGATTGATTGATTGATTGATTGATTGATTGATTATTTAGGTTGATTGGTTATTTGGCAATTGTTTATTTAATCTTGGAATTTTTTCGGAATAAATTATTTGATTACTTTTTCCCCAAGAAATTATTTCTTTTTCCGAGAATTTTTTTTCGAGAAATTATTTTTTTTTTTGAGAAAATTGTTTCCGAGAAATTATTTCTTTTTCTAATATTTTTTTTTTTCGAGAAATTATTTTTTTTTCCGAGAAAATTCTTCTCGAGAAATTATTTCTTTTTTCGATAATTTTTTTCCGAGAAATTATTTCTTTTTTCGAAAATCTTTTTTTTTTGAGAAATTATTTCTTTCTCCAAGAAAATTCTTTCCGATAAATTAGTTCTTTGAATTTTCTTTACCTTGTTTAATTGTTAAATGTCTGCATTTTGATAATTTCGTGATTCTTTTTTCCGAAACTGTCCCTCTACACTTTCACTTCGTAGGTCTGCAAATTCCGTTCTTTTTTTTCAAAAAAATAAAATAAAAAATGGCATTGTTTTTCTTTTGCAATCTACTCCTACTCCGAGTTATAAAGACCTATTTTTTCTGATTCTTTGCAGTCTGGGCACCGAAGGTTCACATTTGCTTTCTGCATCACCTTCGGTACTCTGTGGGATTGGACAGACTTTTTTCGAATTTTAAAGTTTTGGTTTTCTTCCTTTTGATTAGGAAATTGTTCAAATTGGGATCTGTTCGATCCTTCCGACTTGTCTGCTTCCTACCTATTCCTTCCCCTCCAGTCCTGGTACTGGGCCAGTCCATCAGATTGGCCCTCGGGTGACTCTTCAGACTTCGGGCACACCAGTGCATGACACTGCTCACTCGATCACAGACCAAGGCCATGGACCGGAAGGCGGGAGAATCCCTCCTGGCATATGAGGAACGCCAGACGGCATTCATTCAGGAGGCCAACGATAGGGCCGCCGCCGCGGCCAAGGAACGTAATCGGCTCGAACAAGAGGAGGAGGCTAAGCAACAGAAGGAGGAACAAGACCGACTTCGTCAGGAAGAGGCAGACCTGCAGGCGGCAGCCGAACACCGGTCACGCCAGCGGGAACGACTGTTCACGCGGGAGACCATGATCGGCAATGAGGCCGCACATTAGGTGGAAGTGACATCTGCAGACGGGGCCCCAGAGACTGAGAAAGGGTTGTCAGCCCTTGCGCAGGTCTCCCATGACCTCGTGGCCACCTGCGCTTTGCAGCAGGAGGAAATCCTTCACCTGCAGCAAACAGTGGACCAGATGCTCGCACGGCTGCAGGCGTTGGAGAAACAGCCAGTTGCTGTAGCAGGCGCAGAGCCTTCCACCCTTACCACCCGTGTGCAAGTTTTGGAGGATGACGTCAGCAACATCAAGCGTGTGCATCAGGACTTCCGGACGTCGCAGCAAGCAAGGAACTTGCAGTTGGAGACGCAGGTACAGGCTGCTGCCACCGTGACGCCCGCCGCCGCATCCTCCCGGCGCCCACCCAAACTGGATGACATTCCAGTTTTCTGCGATCAGTCCAGTGCTTGTACCACCGATCTGGTGGTGCATGTCAAGCATGGCTGGACAACATCTTGACTTGCCACAGCGTAGCAGTGTCGGAACTGCACACCAAGCTCACTTGGCAGGAGTTGACGGACGTCTCGCACAAGCGATTCCAAATGGAGCCGCCCGACCTGCAAGCGATGGACAAGCTCAACAAGCTCCATCAGAACACGCTGCTCAGTCAGGACTGGATTACCGAGTTCCAAAGACTCGTATCCACACCTGACCTGCCGCTCACATTCCGCGCCATCAAGCACTTATTTATCATGCGCTCGTGTTCAGCTCTGCAAAACGCGCTGACGCAGATTGTAGAGACACTCGACACATCCGACAAGCTTTTCAGCACCGCGTCACGGATCATTCTCACGAATATCGAAGCCCGCAACGCCGGCTGATCTTCCACGACGACGAGCGGCACCCAGCCCAAGCCAAAGGTGGCTTGCATTACTTCTACAGAGGCTGCAACACCAAACGAGGGTGAAGTGTTGGCAGCTGCCCAGGATGGTGGCCGGCCGCGCAACAACCACGGCCGCGACAAGACGAAGACCCAGTCCACCTCTACACCGAGCACCGGATCAGCCGCCGACGAACCTTGGGCACAATACAGACTCTCGGCGAATTTTCATCACACGAGACTCAAGTACCGTTACTGCCTTTGGTGCAACAGCACCATCCACGATGCTGCACATTGCCGCACCAAGGGGAAACCCCGTCAGGAAAAGTAGGCGCCGCCGAGGGTGACTCGACACCTCCCTCGACGCCATCGGAAGCGGTTGTGCGCACGACCGCCCTTTCTTCCGAGGCATATGCGGATGTCGGGAGTCTTCCACTTTCGTTCGAAGACTTCGCTGCCCGGCTCGTTCCTTCACTGGATGCTTCTCAAGGACAAGATACATGTGCGGCTTTCTCACCGTCCGAAGGTTCTTCCGCCAGTTCGTCTTCATCAAGGGATTCGGCGAGCATGTTCAACCAAGAGGCTTTGGACCCGCTCACGCCCGAGGACTTCGCTTGGATTCCTCTCCCTACGACGGGCAACCTTCCGGGGCCGCAAAGCGCAGCCCTATGCGACCTGTTACACGAGTATCTTTCCTTCCATGCACCACCAACTTCGCCGACGGTAAACGAAGTCGCGGTGGGGGACATGCTTGGCTACGTTGCCARGATGGCCCGCGAGTTTGTCTCGCAACGGTACGAAGAAAACAACGCACCGTTGCTGTACGTTCGCATTCAGATTGGGCAAGCGGTCTGCAACGCTTTGCTAGATTGTGGCGCAACTCGCAACTTCATCAGCCAGTCCTTCATGACTCGGGCTGGCCTTAGCGCACAAGTACGGAGGAAGTCACATCCGACGACGGTCGCTCTTGCCGACGGTAAGACGAAACAGCTTTTAGACCGTTAYATCTCGGCTGTCCCGGTGTACTTTGCACCGCACGCATGTGAACCCGTCACTTTTGACGTGTTGGACACCGACTTCGATGTCATTTTGGGGATGCCTTGGCTTTCTAGCGCGGACCACACGGTCAATTTCCATCGACGCACGCTCACGATTTGTGATGCAACTGGCGCCGAGGTCCCGCGTACTATTTCTCCTCCTCGCTCTTTCATTAGGTGCCAAGTCGTGAGTGCCAAATCTTTTCGAGACACATGTCGTTCTGAGCATGTCGAAGAGATTGGCATCGCTTTGCTTCGAACCGTCCTGACGACCGATTCATCGTCCACAGAGATGTCTTCCGACCCCCGTGTGACTCGGTTGTTAGACGAGTTCTCGGATGTTTTTTAGACACCCTCAGGTATAGTGCCGGACCGGCCAATCTCTCACGAGATCATACTTGAGGCCGGCGCCGTGCCACCGAAAGGATGCATTTATCGCATGTCTGAGGAGGAGCTCACGGTTCTCCGTGCGCAACTCGACGATCTACTCGACAAGGGTTGGATCCGCCCTAGCAGCTCACCTTACGGTGCGTCCGTTCTCTTCCTTCGGAAGAAGAACAAGGACCTTCGACTTTGCATTGACTACCGACATCTCAACGAGCAAACCATCAGGAACGCGGGGCCTCTACCTCGCATTGACGATTTGCTTGAGCGGTTGGGCGACGCCAAGTACTTTTCGAAGTTGGACCTCAAGTCGGGCTACCATCAGATTTCCATCCGCCCGCAAGATCGGTACAAAACCGCGTTTAAGACACGATATGGGCATTTTGAGTGGGTAGTTATGCCTTTTGGCCTCACCAATGCCCCGGTCACCTTTCAGGCGGCCATGACCACCGAGTTTCACGCTATGTTGGACCGCTTCGTTTTGGTCTACTTAGACGACGTCCTCATCTATAGCCGAACTCTAGAGGAGCATCCCAAGCACCTTCGCCGTGTTCTAGAGACGCTTCAGTCAGCCCGGTACAAACCTAACCGCGACAAATGCGAGTTTGTCCGGCAAGAGCTTGAATATATGGGTCATTTTGTCTCTCCAGAAGGCATTCGTCCGTTGGTGGACAAGATTCAAGCCATTTCGGAGTGTCCCGAGCCGAAGAATGTGACGGACATGCGATCCTTCCTCGGCTTGGCCGGTTATTATCAGCGCTTCATCAAGGGTTACTCGAAGATCGCGGCCAACCTAAGCAAGTTACAAAGCGAGGAGCGGCCTTTTGACTTCGACGACAACGCGTGCCATTCTTTTGAGACACTCAAAGCGGCACTCTTGTCCGCCGAGGTGTTACATATTTACGACCCGCTTCTAACTACGCGTGTCACTACTGATGCGTCGGGCTATGGCATTGGGGCCGTTCTTGAGCAGCACGATGGCACGGACTAGCACCCGGTCGAGTACTTTAGCAAGAAAGAACCTCCCGTGCATTCGATCGACGATGCACGGAAGAAGGAGCTTCTTGCCTTCGTCCACGCACTCAAGCGTTGGCGACATTTTCTCCTTGGTCGGAAAGCATTCCGATGGGTAACGGATAACAATCCGTTGGTATTCTACAAGTCGCAAGACACGATTAACAGTACCATTGCCCGTTGGATGGCTTTCATCGACCAATTTGACTTTTTCCCCGATCACATTCCCGGGAAGTCAAACCGTTTTGCGGACGCCCTCTCACGGCGACCGGATGTTTGCACCGCAGTCTACTCTACCTTCGAGATCGAGGACGACTTGCTGGAGAGCTTTATCCGCGGCTATCACGCCGACCCCCACTTTCGCGACAAGTACGCGAATTGCTCCTCTCCGAATCCGGTGCCTTCGCATTATCGGATCCAAGAGGGCTACTTACTTGTGCATTCACGGGGTAAGGATCTTCTTTGTATGCCGAATGATTCACACTTGCGCACACGGCTTCTTGGCGAGTTTCACGATGCGCCCGCCTCCGGACATTTTGGTGTCAACCGTACACTTGGCCGACTTCGCCAGCGGTTCTATTGGCCCGACCTTCTCAAGGACGCCACCCACTATTGTGAGTCGTGCGAAGTCTGTCGGCGTTGCAAGTCACGCAACCATCGTCCATTCGGCGAGCTACACCCATTACCAGTACCCTTTAGGCGACAGGAAGCAATTGCTATGGATATCACCAGCCCCTTCCCGAAGCACAAGACCGGCGTTGATGGGATCCTCACGGTCGTTGACCGCCTCACCAAGTACGCCATGTTTTTGCCTTGCCGCTATCACGCAAAGGCACCAGAGTTAGCCGAGGTCTTATACACCGGTTGGATTCGCTCCAAGGGCTACCCCAAGGAGATCGTTTGTGACCGGGACCCCAAGGGCTACCTCGTCAAGCGATGGGGCTCATCTTTGAAGCCGAGTTTGGCTCGCCACCCTCAAACCGATGGTCAAACGGAAAGGGCGCATCAGACCGCTCAAGTCCTTCTCCGCACTCTCATCCGTCCCGACCAGGTTGATTGGGTTGAGCGCTTGCCAGACGTTGAGTTGGCTTACAACTCATCGATCCACCCGGCTATCAGGATGTCACCGTTCGATTTTTAGCATGGTTCACCCATCTCATTGTCGTTGGACGCTACTTTGCCGCGCACGGCCGAGAGCGACGACCATCTTGCGCTCCTTCGTCGCATGCAAGAGCTTCTTGTCAAGGCACGGGATCAGATGTCGAAGACGCAAATACGAATGAGCCGTCAAGCCAACCGCAATTGCCTTCCTTGCCCGTTCCACGTCGACGATATGGTCCGGGTCTTCGCAGCGGAGTTCACCCTTGAGCAAGACATCTCTCGCAAGCTCCTTCCCAAGTGGATGGGGCCTTGGTGCATTCTCTCTGCAGCTGGTGATGATCCCGGGGGGCCCTCATTCCGCATCGCGGTGCCACCTCACTTGCCCGTCCACACGGTGTTCCACTGTTCCAAACTCGCTCCTTTTGTTTCAGCGGAGTCCGACGAGTTTCCCGGTCGACATACGCAAGACCCTCCTTCCATGGACGGATTTCAGGAGGCCGGCAACATCATCACCGACCGGCGCCATGGCAACAAAGAAACAAAGTTTCTACTTCACTTTTCCTACTGCAGCCACAAGGCTGACCGTTGGCTGAC